CTTGGCAACTCCTCCTGGACAAAAGGTGGATATAGAGGACAAGAAAAATGGAGGACATTACAAAAATAAAAGCTTTAAAACACTCATAAATGTACCAAATGGAGGACATTTGGGAGTTCCTCCTGGACAGAATGTGGAAATGGAGGGCATTACAAAATAAAAGCTCAAAACACTAATATAAATCTGTCTTGTATGTATATGTATGTGTCTTTTTAAATAATAAATTATTTAATTAAAAAAAACACTAATAAGATAAATGTAAATTCAGGCTTCTTAGTGTGGCTCAAAATGGAGGACATTTGGGAATTCCTCCTGGACAGAAGGTGGAAATGGAAGACACTGAAGAAAAATGGAGGACATTACCAAATTAAAAGTTAAAAAAACACACACAATATAAATGTAAAAATCTGTGATTCTTAGTCCTGCTCCAAATGGAAAACATTTGAGAACTCCTGGACAGAAGGCTCAAATGTAGGACAAGAAAAATGTAGGACGTTACCAAATAAAAGCTAAAAAAACAAACAAACCAATAATACAAGTGTAAACCCATGCTTCTTAAGTCTTGCTCCAAATGGGGGACGCTTGGAAACTCCTCCTGGACAGAGGATTGAAATGGAGGGCAAGAAAAATGTAGGACATTACCGAATAAAACCTAAAGAAACTAATAATACAAGTATAAAAATCCATGCTTCTTAGTCCTACTCCAAATGGAGGACGTTTGGGAACTCCTCCTGGACAGAAGGCTAAAATGGAGGACAAGAAAAAAGTAGGACATTACCGAACAAAAGCTGAAAACACTAATAATACAAGTGTCAACCCATGTTTCTTGAGTCCTGCTCCAAATGGGAGGACACTTGGGAATTCCTCCTGGACAGACAGAAAGGTGAAGTGGAGGACAGGTCCTGGGAAAGTGAGTGTGAAATGTAAATGTAATTTGTAAAGCACCATTACAATATCCTCATCCTCATCCTCGTCTCCAATGATGTCTATGGAGGGGAGGAGAGGGAAGAAGCACTTACAGCCGGGCTGAGGGGATCTTTAGCAGGCTTAGCGACAATGTTTGCCCTGGGCGGCAAGGCCTGGCTCCTCAGCCTGGCCATCAGGAACCTGGAGGCCTTCTGGAAAGCCAGCATGGCTTCTGGGAGGAGGGAGGCTTCGCTTTCCCCAGCGCCCAAGAAAGAAACCCAAAAGGCCCCTCAGGAGATAGAGATAGGGATAGAGATGGAGATGGAGGCTGCCAGGGAAAAGCTACAGGCGTCGCGGTCCCTCGCCAGAAGCGGCTCCTCCTCCCAAGTTTCCCAAGAGGTCGAAGGCGCGAGGAACAACAAGTGCGGATGCCCCCGCTCCCAAACCGGAGCAGCGCTCGGCTCCATTGGCCACCTCAGAGGAAAGTTTTGCAACCCCGCATATGGGGGGGGGGG